GTCTATATGAAGTTGCCACCTGGCTTAAAGTCTGTTGAAGGAAGTAACAAGGTGTGCAAGCTCAACAAGTCTCTATACGGGTTAAAACAATCACCCAGAGCTTGGTTCGAGAGGTTCACTAAAGTCATCCTAAAAAACGACTACAAGCAATCCCTCGCTGATCATACACTTTTCATCAAGGTAACTTCTACAAATAAGAAAACTATTCTTATTGTATACGTGGACGACATAATTCTTACCGGAGATGATGAAGAAGAGATTTGCAATTTGAAGAAGTTGTTAAATAAGGAATTCGAAACCAAGGACTTGGGAAAGCTAAGGTATTTCCTAGGAATGGAGGTGGCAAGGTCAAAAAGACTTGTGATCAACCAAAGAAAATATGTACTTGATTTACTCAAAGAAACTGGTTTTCTTGGTTGTAAGCCGAATGATACACCAATGGAGGCAAGCTTGAAATTTAACAAAGAAGATGAGTCCTTAGTAGACAAAGAGAAATTTCAAAGATTAGTTGGGAAACTAATTTATTTATCTTTGACAATGCCAGATATAGCATTTCCTGTAAATGTGATAAGTCAACACATGACTAATCCTACTGAAGAGCATATGGCAGCAGCAAATAAAATTCTCAAGTACTTGAAGAAAACTCTAGGACACGGTTTAATGTTTAAGAAGACACAAGACAGAACTGTTAAGATCTTTATAGATTCTAGTTGGGCCGGAGACCTTACTGAAAGGAGATCCACTAGTGGCTATTGCACATTTGTTTGGGGAAACCTTACAACTTGGAGAAGTAAGAAACAATCTGTCATTTCAAGAAGTAGTGCTGAAGCTGAATTTAGAGCACTAGCATTGGGAATATGCGAAGGAATTTGGCTACTTAAATTATTGAAAGAACTTGTCAGTAATCAAGAGGATCACTTTGAAGTTTTGTGTGATAATCAATCTGCTATTCAAATTGCCAAGAACCCAGTTCAACATGATCGGACAAAGCATGTTGAGATTGATAGGCATTTTATTGTTGATCAAGTTAACAAAAAGACAACCACACTTTCATACATTCCTTCAGAAGAACAAGTTGTAGACATTCTTACTAAGGCTTTGCCAAAGCCTGTTTTCAATAAATTCCTATTCGAGTTGGGATTATACAATGTATATTCTCCAGCTTGAGGGGGAGTGTAGGAATTATAGAAATATATGATTATGTAAATATCCTTTAATTAAGGGATTCTGTAAATATTCTACAATCCCTTATTTTAAGGGATCATATCTCCTAGGATTAGTATTTTTCCTTTCTTAGAGTTTTTTACTTTAGAGAGATAATTTGTATATAAATATGTAATATGTCCTATTGAAAAGAATAAGAAATTACAGAGAATTACTCTGATTTCTACACTCACCTACTATATATACTTATTAAACTTGTAATCTATTGTTATTGGAATATACGACAGTGGAGTTTTTCACTTTTTCACTTTTTCTTACCTTTGTCATTTAATTTATTTCATCACCCAATTCCTTTTACTTCACTTTACATTAGCCCTATTTTCAATAATGGTTAGATAAATTGCTGCCTGCTCATCATTGACACCTTGTTTACTGTTTAGTTATCTTCTAAATCATGAAGCCTTGATTTACCTGAGTGGAAGTTGGCTCTTGGGCTGCTATTATTTTGGATGTATGTTTTGTTTGTAACACTAGAGCATGTGCATGTCCTTCCTGTATTCCCGTAATGCTTTTCATGTCTGCATGTGGCTGACAATTGGCAGGTGTATTCATACATACAGAATCTTTAATATCTTGATAAAGTTTGAAATGACCAGACCGCCTACTTATTCTGTTGCACCGATCTTCGTTCTATGCAGGCAATTTTTTCTGATGATTCTGATGATGATGTAGAGGACTCAAACACCAAAAAAGTGGGATCCGGAGAAGAAGACTGAAGTTGCAACTACAGCACTGAACCGTTTGATAGCGGGCGACTTTCTAGAATCCCTTGGGAAAGAACTGGGCTTCAAGGTCCCCCTTGACATGCCCTACTCAACTAATAAAGTCAACGCTCCTCGGATAGAAACACCAAACAGTGATTCTGGAAATCCTAAACTCAGCACTGGAACTTTTCTAAACCCTGGAAACAAAACTGCTCAAGACAGTGAATTACCAAAAAAAATCCGTTCCTTCCAGGTTTGTGGGATATAGTAGCAAGGATACTGTTGGTTTATCTGAGAGTAGAGTCGACAAAGATAAGTTTGTTGAAGAGGATAAGAAATTCAAATCACCCTCCAGCCGTAAGAGAAATTGGAGCAGCAGTTCCTCATCAGAAGATGAAAGGAGTAGAAAACATTCAAAACGAGATTGTTATAGAAGCAGCGACTCATATAGCAATCCATCCAGTGATGATCATGAACACTACCGTTCTAGGTCAAAAGGAAAAGGGGAAAGATCATCCAAGGGAAAGAGTAGTTCCAGCAGAAAACACTCAAAACATCATAAACACCGAAGCCGGGACTCTCCCAGCAGGTCCCATCGTGGTTCGGAGAGGGAACATTCAGAAGCCAGGAAAGAGAAAAGAAAACGGAGAAATCAAGCCTCTGTAAATTTGTTTCCATACAGAAATTTCCGGAGGTATAGCTTCATGGACCCTGAACACCCAAAATTTGACTGATCATCAATTTGATTGATGTTTTGGGGAAAAGGTCTCACCAAGAAATGATGGTAGAGATCCTTGACCAGTATGGTGCTTATTTCGGGCTTCCCTTTTGTGTCCAGATGTTGTGACTGAGCTACGATCCGTGGAGGCATACAATTTATGGACTTTTAGAAATGATGATGATGATGATGCATGGAAGGCATCTTTTCGGTTCTACTTTTGAATTGCTGCGTCCCTAGTAATAAATCTATGAACCATTTGCTAGTATTAGCATGCATGCATTATTTGTAGTTTCACCTCCTCCTAGACCTAGGTTAGTCATCATGAAGATTATTATCCTAAGGTACACTGGATTTTAGTTTTGAGGGATCATTTCCTGTGAACGGAGACGTTTTATGATTGCATCCCAAGTGGTGGTTATTTGCTTCCCTCTCCCTGGCTAGGTATTTAAATGGACCCCAATTAAATCCCTCGGTTCATTTGGGTTTTGTGGGTGTTGGTGTTTCACAGCCAACAACTGTCCCTAAATATTCTTTTCATATTCAAATCGAGTCTTCAGTCATTGTGAAGTCAGCTTTAGGCTAGATGCCAGTATACATCAATATAGTGATTTTTATAGCATAAAATAGAATATTCAAATATTTAATCTTGTGTTGCTTATTTGGGCTAAACACTATCTCAATTGTTTGAACAGTATTAGGATTGTTTTGGTAAGACTCAAACGAATGAATGTTACAATGATCTGGGCGGGAGGCGCAGTGGGGCGATGAAGGTAGCGTCCGCCTGGGTTGGGACAAGGTGATATATGGGAGGCGGCCAGAGGCTCTTGAGCTTTTCAGTTTTTTTTTTAGGAAAATAGGAAAAACTAGATTAAATAGGAAGAAGAAGATAGATAGTGAGAACAGGAAAAGTAGAACGACAGGACATGAGAGAGAGGCAGAAAACTCTCATTTGTTACATTTTTATCATTTCAACCCTAGCCCTAACACATAAAAGTACTTATAAATCGACTCAGATTTGTATGCGACTCTAATATTTATTTATTATAACAAGCCCATAACTTCTTTCATTGTTTACATGCTTTTTTTAGTTCTAAAAGTTTATTGTTATTATATATTATTTTTATGTTCTTTTAATTAATTAGTTTAGTAGTAATATATATATATAATTAATTTTAAAATAGTAAAATATTAAATTTATTAATATCTATTTAATAAATTTTATTAAATATAAAAGTTAATTTTTATAATAATTTAGAGTTATATGGAGATTTTAAACTGATAATAAAATTAATTTATATCATTTAAAAAATAAATAAAATAATAGTTTTAAAGATTAAAATAATTGTTATTCGCTCCAAGAGAGTCAAGTTTGTGTGATTATGTTTGTCCTATAAAGTATTTGTGTGTTGTCAAAGTGTTTGTTTGATTTATATTATATAATACAAATGGTGCGTCTCGCATACGAAAAGTGCATTCGGGCATCTTGCGCTTAAGTTTCGGGGACTTTTGCGTTTGCGCCCTTAAAAACCAAGACAATGATAATGATATGTATATTCAATCATTTTCAGTAGTTACTGGTATTTGACAAAGTAAAACAAAGTATATATTAAAAATGGAAGTGTTTTAAATAATCTTTCTCCTGGTCACCAAGTATATAAATAACTCGTATCAGTATTATCATTTTCTCTAATTACTAGTATTTGACAAAGTAAAACAAAGTATATATTAAAAATGGAAGTCTTTTAAATTAGTGCTCTATTTTTTGAAATTCACATTAAACCCACGCAAGATAGTAGATGTTACAATCATTCATATAATATGGGATAGTTAATTGAATTAGAAAATCTAAATGTCTTCAAGACAAAACATAGAAATTTGAACTTTGCATCTAATATTTTCCGGGACCTTCTTTTTTATCGTTAAGTCAATAACTCTTCCACGATTGTTTTGTTTGGAAATATAATAATAATAATAATAATAATAATAATAATAATTATTATTATTATTATTATTATTATTATTATTATTATTATTATTATCCCATTTTTAATGTTTTTATGTATATATTTTTTAAGTATTCATTTCAACATAGTAAATTTTATACTGTTAACTAATAAAATTTTCTTAAATTATATATTTTAGAAAACACATGTTAAGGATGAAATAAATTGGGTTGGGAGGATTGTCCACAGTGATCCAAATTAACCGATTAATAAATCGAACACCGATGGTTATATAAAAAAACATTAAAAAAATATGACAATCAATACTAAATCTCTACTAAATGAACCAAAATGAATGCATTTATGTTATATTGTACAACTAAAGCTGTGATTAAGATCATTTGAATTTCAAACCGGAGGTGCATGGGGATGAGTATCTTTACTTTTATCATCTCCAAAAGACATAACTTTAGCACCCATCTCCACCCCCTCACCAGCCATACAACGTCGACATTTGAGCTTCAACCAACCCAAACATCCTCCATGCTTGATCGTATCCAACGGTGTCACTGCCACCACCGCCCGACGTCTGATACAAATCCTACCAATAATGCAAGAAAGGACAGCAAGAAACGTCAGAACCGAGATAACTGCAGAGAAAGGTCTGAAAGACCCCGACGTTGATGGAGCACTGCTTCCAGCTGCTGCTTGCGCTTGAAAGGGTATCGATGAAAGCGAAGATGCCATTGTAATTGTTTGTATAACATAAGCAAGAAATGACGAAGGCTTACAAGGCCATTTATTTAAGAGTGAAGAGAATACTCCGAAGAAAAGCTATGGATTTGAACAACTTTAACCGGCCATAAAGAGAGAAAAACTCGAATCCCACATGGAAAGGGAGCTTGCTTGCGTCAGAAAGGCATGGTTCTGGTATACTTTGAAAAGTCTACCAGTGCTCTACTTTTCGATTTGCTTCTCATTGTTAACTTCTATAGTTTTTAATATATATACTTAAAATTAATTATATTTTTTATTAAGCTAAGGTGATTATAAAAAGTATCAATTCTAAATACTCTCAATCATTTGATAATGAATGTTCAATTATCATATTGCAGTCGTTGGTGCTCGAACCCATGACCTCTAGAAACAACAAGATTCCTTTAACCACTGAGGTAAGTTAGTTTATGAAAAATTAAAAATATTTCAAATTCAGATTTTGGGTTAATATACATTTTAGTACCAATATAATTATTTTGAAACTATTATTTATAATAGTTTTTTAAATAGAAATCCTAAGAATTAAATAATTATATATTTTATAATATATTGAATAATAGTAATATAGTATAATGTTAAATATTTTTATTAAAACGATAAATTGTAATACCCTAAAATTTTGAATAGTGATTAAAATGAAAATTTTGAAAGTTTAGTGACCAAAGTATAAATTTGTGAAAGTTTAGGGACCGAAAATGATAATTTTCCTGAAAAGAAATTTTATCCCGTAAATGAATAGTTTACCCCCAAGAATGACATTTTTGTGTTACTTGGATTTTTCGTTTGAAGTTTGTATAAAGGCTATAAAGCTATAAAGTTCGAGAAAAATTCGAATAATCAGATCGAATCAGATTTTTGAGAAACTTTGAAGCATGATAGGGAAAGATTAATAATGTCATCTACATATTTTTAAATTAGTAGAATTTAACATGGACCATTGGATTTAAGTTGATTTTCCATGTTAAATCGGGACCGTTAGATTAAAATGGTAAGATTGTAATTTTTGGAAAGTATAAGAGTAAAGTTGGAAAAGAAGAATATATTTGTTCATATTTGTCTTGATGATGTAAGTATGATCATATGATTATGTAGCATTGTAATTTCCAATAGATTGTAAGGGTAAAAAGGTCTTTTAGCATTAAATGAATTTTTAATTCATTTTAATTAGTTTAAAGCCAAGTGTAGTAAGATATGTTAAAGGAATTTTCAAGACATCTTCTTCTTCAGTTATCTCTCCATTGTTGTGATCTACCCTATAGTTAAGAAAAAAATTTATTTTTCATTTTGAAGCAAATTCTTTAGGTTTTTAGATAACAACATGAAATAGAAAATTTAATCTACATGAAATTCTCTATCATTTGATGTAATTTGTTCATGCTTTCCTTTTTTGAATCCTTAGTTTCATGATTATGGTGGATGAAGGGGAAGTTGGATTTTTATTCTTTAAGGTTAGATTTTGATGTAGTTGATGTTATAGAGTCTTTTTCATGCTTGTATAATGATTGGAAACAATTAGAAATGGTCGAATCAAAGTTTGGTTAATTAGGGTTTTTATGTAAAGATTGAATATGAATTGAAATTGATATGGAATTGACTGAGATTGCATGGAAATGATGTTTAGAGCTTGAATTCATGCTTGAATCAAGTTGAAAATTTTGCCTAAATTGACCTTTGATATTCGGCTAAGGTAGGAAAATTAGGGAAAAATTTCCCTAAGGCTAGAAATAATGTAAAAATGATTTTGCAAGCTTTAGAATGTTGTTTGGACCAATATGGAAGTTTGTAAAGTTACGGGGACCAATTCACATAGTATGGAAAATATGGGATTGAAATGGAAATTGTTCAAAAGTTGATTTACCATGCTTGAATTAATGTTAGAATGTTTAATTATGTTATAGAATCTTGAATTGGAGTTAAATCGAAAGGGGACCATTTTGAATAATTTTGAAATGTTTAGACGAATTCTAAAAGAATTCATATTAGTGATTGAAATGTGAAATTTGGAAATGTCTTGTGGACTAGTGATAACTATGGATATTAAAGGACTTGAAGGGTCATTTTGAAGTATTAAAAATAATGTTGAGGTTGTGAAAATGAACTAGTATTGAATCAATATCGAAAACACTTTTATGAATTTATTTCTAATATGCGCTTATGTTAGTATGATACTAACATATAATTTTAAATTAGTACATGGTTTGTAAATTATGTTCGTATAGATTGTGATCAAAATCGAGATACGAGCAAGCTTAAAGCCAAAGAAAAAACACGAGTGAGATTATATCGAAAGTAAGGTTTTCGAGTGAGGCATTACCAGGTGAGTGCATTTTTACCAATTATATAAATGTATGATGTGAGAAAGACTTGCGATGAGTCAATCTCAAATGATTTGAAAAGAAAAGTATTTAAATCGTATTTGATCTATTTTTTATAATGTTTTTTCAAAATGGGTTTTAGGTTAATTTGGGTATGAATTGCCCAAGACATTTTTATATGATATTTTGCGAAATGGCTTATTGATGATTTCGGGTATGAACTGCCCAATGCACATATATATGATATCTTGATATGTTGGTATCTATGGATACTTCTGATAAAAGAATGATATATGATTTTGGTATAAAAGTCTCATTGTATATGGATTCAGAGTCGTAGGTACAATTGGTATGTCATGAGGTAGAGTGATTATATGGTACATTTGTATATTTTATGAGGTATATTCGGGTACATTATTTGTGACACCATGTGTGTATTATGGGGTTCATGATGTTTTGACATTGTGAATTATCATTCTGATTATCATTGTATATTTATATGTGGCACATATAGTACAAAGTTATCTACGAGGTACTTTCGAGTGCAAATTTATCTACGAGGAACCTTCGAATGCATATTGCATACACTCAATGGACTCACGTACCTTGTATTCTCATTCAATATACATTGGGCTATGCTTGTATGAACTGATAAATGTTGATTGATTGGTTCAAATGAAAGTAAATCTTTCATTACTGCTTGGATTTGACTAAATGTAGTATACATGTGATCTGTATTTTTACATGAAAAGAAGAGACTTTATTAAGTCTATTTTATATGTTTTCATATTTTATATGAAATTAGTATATTATGTTTTACATGAAATTTTATATATATTAGTATTCTATTTTATTATTAATAATGTCTCACTAAGTGTGTACTTAGCATGTGATGATTTTCACGTATAGGTAAAGGAAAGCGAGTGGAGTAAAGAGCTTTGTAACACCCTAGAATAGTACGACAAACAGTCGACCAATGAGGATGCCACACGAAACTACCGAAGTGGATAACCAACTTTAAATATAATTTTTCATGCTTTAAAACGACCATTATAACCAACCATAAAATAAACAAAAATATAATTAAAAAATCATTTTTTCATTGAGGAGCTCCAAAATAAAATATTTACACTTCAAAAATATTACAGACCAACTTGGCTGAATCTATGACTCAAGTAGACAATAATGTTTACAAATATACATGCCCAATAAAAATTCTGAGACATATATTTGATCTGCATTAGATTGGTCTGGACCTTGGTCTATCTACTGCTTCCCAATCGCTTGATCTACTAACTGGCCCACAGAAACATTCGAAGGTTGAGCTAACTAGATCAGTGTCACACTAATGTCTAAAACATACTAACCACATCACTAAAAAGCTCAACCTATGAAGTCTACTGGTATAAGGTCTACTTCTATCTGTTATGTTCTACTAGCCTACTCCTTGAGTGTTGGACCTTGCACCCAAGCTAGTCTGCTTTAAAATTGCTTTAGTGAGTATTCTCGAATACTCACTCTCTAAGCTATGGTAGATATCCTGGTGCGGTTGAGGGTTCTGCATCTCAGAGCTCAAACACTCCTTGTCTACCTTGGATATGCCCCCTGAAAGTCTCTGCATTGGTAACCATACCCCTAACTAACCCACCCTTTCTTCTAAAGAATGTTAAGGCCTTGGCAAACCTAGTTAATCAGAAAGGCCTCATGTAACATCCTCAATATCAGGCTAGTGACCTAAAGGTGAATTTTGAAAGCATTGTGTTCAATTTCGAAATAAGTTAAAAGTTTAGAATTTTAATTGGAGAATTTTGAGGTTGGATTTAATAGTAAAGTTTGAAAGTAATAAGGGTATTATGGTCTTTTCTAAGAGAAGATTTTTTTATTTCTCTTTTAGGGGATATAAAAACGTGGGAAATGAGGGAAATGAGTTTCCAGAGTTTTCTTCTTCTCCTTTCTTCTTCACGCGTGGAAGCCAAGAGCAAAGGTGGGAATTTTTATTAGTTGATTATTATTTGAATTCTAAATTGGTTTTGATTCTTTGGAAAGTAAGAAAGCTTAAAGAAGTCTAAAGATAAGTCAAAACTCAAAGATGAAGAGGTTAGAAGAGATTAAAGAAAATGAGTTTTTAAGTGAAATTTTGAATAAGAAGGTTTAAATGAATTTGGAGGATGAATTTGACTTGTCATCTATAAGAATAAGAAGTTAGAAGTGTTAGAATTAAGTTTGGATAACATGGAAAATTGGGTATGATTATTGATTTCCATATGAAAGATGGAATTTTGAGGTTAAAGATGAGATAAATGAATATTAATGAGTTTAAGTATGTATATGTAAGTTAGGAATATGAAAGGGGTTGAAATATGAAGGATTTAATCCAAAAAGAATGAATTTTTGGGTTCAAAAAGAGGATTCTGGGCAGAGTGCATCGATGCATATTCATAGTGCACCGATGCATCAAGGTTAAAACCCAGAAATTGTTTGAAGGTGTATCGATGCACAGGTAGTGCATCGATGCACTCTTTTAATCTAAAAACATCGAATGCAATTAGTGCATCGATGCATAAGGCATGCATCGATGCATCCCAGTAATAAACAAACATCGAATGTATTTTGTGCACCGATGCACAAGTAGTGCATCGATTCATCGGTAGGGAA